CCTCCCTAGCCCAGGACTTTCGGGTGGCTGTAAAATAAAGCCCGAAGGACTGGCTGCTCCTGAGAAAAGAATCCCACCCTTCCAGACCTCCTGTTACAGGCTGTTCGGTGAGGAAGACCTGGGTTACGTCCTCTTCCTTCCTGCCGACAGCTCCGTCTCTGAGCTCAGGGCTGTAGAGCTCTTCTGTTTCTGTGGAGATGAAAGGTACCGGTGTCTGATGACTCCTCGGCCCGCGGGCCCGCAGAACTGAAGGGCTTTGTGAGAGCCGCGTCCCTTGAGATGGTAAACAATAACACCACACAAGGGGAGTGACAAAGGGTGCATTGTGGGAGAGAGGCAGAAGATGGCAACAGTTTTAAAACAATCTTTGTAGCTCTCTGCTGCTGCAGCATGCCCATGAATTTGCATATTGGGTCAATGTTTACAAACTACAGGTAATTCAAAACAAAACATGACGAGGTCAAGTTTTAGTTTGCATCTCCCCAAATATTCATTACATCATTTTCAGGAAACACTGCCTTTAAACTGTAAGGACAGTGTTTTAGCTCTGTGTCCTAAACACTTCCTGCATTTTAGATACTTTTTGCAAAGCGTTCAAATCTTAAACGCTGTGGTTGTCGGACAGCGTGCAAGAATGTGGGTAATTAAAGCTAAAATGATGTTTGCCTGTGGCTCAGACGCCTGGCGCAGACAATGGGCAGCTGAGAGAGTCTCTGGGGGCTAAACCAGGTCATCGGAACAGCGAAGCGCGAGACAGGCGATTTCAGGAGCGGGTCATCAGCTCCTCCTGTCAGCTGTGCTCCTGCTACAGATGAAGGAGAAGCGGCCAGAGGCCGAATCGAGACTTTAAGGCAAAGCGATCTCGATTCAGAGCGATTTCAGTTTGTGTTTTTAGTTACTGTATCAAATCAAATGGGCTCAGAGTGATTTTAAAGGGGCAGGTTGTGATCACAGATAAACACCGGAAACAAAATGCCTTGATGATAGGTTTTGATTTTAACAGCGAGTTCAAGCTTCCCAGTGGAAAGGGATGCGATACTGCTGTTTGACCTGGCGGTTTCTAGGTGTTGTTGTGTCCCATATTGAGACGACTGTGATTATCCGGGCTCTGGTGGGATTCACACACACGCACTCCAGATGTCAGACCCCCTGTGCGGAGAGACAAGGAGGGGCAGGCCTGGCACCCGCCTCTGCTGGGGCTCCGTTGAGCGATGGCTCTCCCGGTCCTCACTGGCAGCGCCACTCGGCCACGGCTGAAACGATACCCACAGCTCCCGGGGAGTCGCCCTGCCTGGAGCCTGACCGGCTGGACGTGAGATCTGTTACGAACAAGAGGAGCCCGTCCGGTAGTTAGCGGATAACTGTTCCCAGAATCTCGCACAGCTGTTTCTCGAGAGAATCAGGGGTACCGGTTTCAACAATATGGCGGGGCAGATTGTTCCACACTCCCACCTCCCTCTGTGTAAAGAAGCGCCTCCTGTTCTCAGTTTTCAGCGCTCTTGTCCACAGTCCCCCCACCTGTGCCCTCGGGTTCGTGTTTGTGGTTTGTGTGGACGGAGGCTTGGCGCCCCGGTCGGCTGACGCAATCTCGGCGGCGGCGGCGGCGGCGCCTCACGGTGGCGGCCTCCTGTCTTGCAGGTGGAGTTCGAGACGGTGAAGCTGGAGCTGAAGAACAAGGAGGAGGAGCTGGAGCTGCTGCGGGGGCAGCTGGAGGAGGCGGGCCGGCTGCGCGAGATCGCCGAGCGCCAGCTGGACGAGGCCCTGCAGGGCCTGAAGGAGGAGCGCGAGCAGAAGAACAGCCTGCGCCGGGAGCTGTCCGCCTACGCCCTCAACCCCTTCGACTCCGTGGGCAGCCTGCAGCTGCACCTGGACGAGCTGCAGCTGGACGACAGCCGCGAGGCCGAGCCGGACCAGGACAGCGGCTTCAACAGCGGCAGCGGGGGGCCGGGCTGCCCCCCCTCCAGCGCCAACGGGCACCACCGCTACTCCACGCCTCGCAACAGCGACGTCTTCCTGCGGCCCGCGCCGGGCCTGGTGTCCGACCTGCTGAGCGAGCTGAACCTCTCGGAGAGCCAGAAGCTCAAACAGCAGCTGCTGCAGGTGAGCTTTCCTCTCGCTGGCGCAGGCCGCCTCTCTCTCTCTCTCTCCCTGCTCTCTTGCGCCGTGTCCCTCTCGCCGTCTCGCTGTCCGTCAGAGGCTGCCTGACTCTCCTGTTCCACCCTCGGCCTCGTGCTGTCTGTCAGGCTGTCTCGGATCTGATCTGCCTGCGTCCTGCACTCCTCACCCTGCCCTCTTTCATGAGAGGGAGTCACACACTGCAGGTGTTCCGAAGTGATGGAATAATGTCCTGCGCTTTTTTTTTGTTGGGCTCAGGGGACCCCGAGAATGGCGGTCCCCCAGCAGTCTTCAGTAACCCCCACTGTTGGAGGAGGCTGGTTTGACTTCTGGTTTGTCAGAGTCTGACAGTTTTGCGCAGCTGTGTGTCAGTGCTGCCTGTCTTCACGAGCCTCACTCATGGCTGTGACTGGATCTCACCCCCGCGTCCCGCCTGCACGCGGTTCTGCTGTCACGAGTCAAGGGAAGCAGAGTTAACTCTGGAGCAGGCCTCCGGCCCACAGCAGCTGGACACTGTCCCAGCCTGCAGGGGGCTCTCCTGAGCTGCGGAGCCGGCGAACGGGGGGTTGAAATGCAGCACTGCTGCCGTTTGGGAAGATGCTCGTCTCGGGAGTGCCCTTCTTCCTCGTCAGCTCCCTCTCGGGGAAGTTTGCCCGGGGCTGGGGTTGGCGTGTCAGGAGATCTGCGCGGCGCTTCCTGCCACTGCCGGAGGGGCGACCACATCCCTTCTCCGCACCCGCGCTGCGCTGCGCTCGTGATCTGCAGAGACGAGCTTCCTGCCGAGCCGCCTCGCCTCCCTGTGCCTCACAGATCAGAGGAGTGCTTTCTCCTCCTCCCTGGCTAAATCTCAGATCCCATACCCGGTCCTGTGGGGATGGGAGAAGCTCCATTCACCTTTAAATGCATCATCTAAATCATCAAACTCGCCATTTCCTGTAGGCCTTAATGACTTACTAAGAGCGCCTTGTGAAAGGTAGGGCTCTCTTGATTTAATAATGGCCTGCAGTCGTTACTGCATGGCTGCACTCACAGCGGGGTCAGTCTTGACTTGCAGAGCCGTGGTTGTGCTTCTGTCACTGTGCAGCGGTTAGACACAGCCCCCTCCACCCTCCGCTCTGCAAACAGAATCCCATCAGAAGTCCATGGAGATATGTGACCCTTAAGCTGCAGCAGAAGGTGGGCGCTGTGCTCCTGAGGAGAAAATATCTTCCCACCCCCTCTCCTCCCAGAGTCCGTTAGTTAACGCAAGGGTGAAGATTCCAGATGTGAGACAGATGTGGCAGTGGTGCAGGGCGTGCATCTGTAATGCATCAGCAGTGCTTATCCGTCAGGGGAGTGATGTGCTGGTGAGGAGACTGCACCGCGAGCGCGCTGAAAGCCTTCTGTTTTTATAGCTCTACGCGTTTGTCTGAGTGGTTTGAAGCATGAATAATTCACTCTTGCTAAAGCGTCTTTTCATGTAGACGTGAGCCACTTCCCCGCGTCCTGGTGCAGTGATCCGTTTGAGGAAGGGTTTGTTGTGCAGCAGACCGTTTTTGTGGGGAAAGACGCTCTTGCTAGCGAGGCCCAGGTTAGTTCCTCGCTGGCGAGTCCTCGGACGGCTGCAGCGGCGTGACCGCAGGGTCTGAGGGGTCTTTCGGCGACCGCCCGCTCGGCGCCTCTCCCCTCCGGCCCTGCGAGAGCCCCTGTCCCCCGCATCGACTTCGTGTTTGTCCCCTCCTGCTGTAAAGGACCTTGCTGCTGCTCAGAAGGAGGACGGCAGTGTCGTGGTGGAGAGGCTGTGCCCTCTGCTGCCCCTGTCCCCGGCCCCAGGGCACAGGAGTGCGCCAGGCGCGGGGCGGTGTGTCGGTGTTTCGGGCTGCAGGGCACATGGGCGAGGACAAGTTACAGGCTGTGGGCAGGGGAGGGCGCGACAGCTGTGTCCCGCTGGCACCGGGCCACACTAATCCAGCTGGGGCCCGATACAGGAGGGAGGTTCTGGATTACCGGAGATTAATCCCCCTTTCGCTAAATCTCTGGCACAGCGCTTCCGACACGGTGCTCACAGTGCACGTCGGCTCGGGAGAGGATCTGCGCTGACCGGCGGCTGGTTTGTCTCCCCCTGCAGGCGGAGAGGGAGAAGGTGGCGCTGGCCGGGACGGTGCAGGATCTTCAGAGGCAGCTGGAGGACGCCAAGCAGGCCCTGTCGGAGCAGCAGGGCAGGAGTGCCGCGCTGGCCGAGCAGCTGGAGGCCCTGCAGGGCGGTGCCGACACTCTGCCGCAGCGACAGCAGGGCCCCAGGGGGGAGCCGGAGAGCGGGGCAGACCCGGAAGGAGGTAAGGATTGCCCTGAAGCGGAGCACCGCCTCCGGACGGCCAGCGAGGAGCTGGCCCAGCTCCGGAGGGACCTGCAGGAAGCGGAGGCCCGGAGCGCCGGGCTGGAGGCCAGGCACAAGCAGGAGAAGGAGCGCTGGAGGGCCGAGGCGCAGGAGCTGGCCGAGAAGATCCGCCAGTGCATCAGGTCCAGCCGGCAGGACCAGGAGCGGATCCTGGAGCTGGAGAGGGAGATCGGAGCCACCCGGAAAGTCGCCACCGACTCGGAAGGCCACCTGACCATGGCCCAGGATGAGCTGGTGGCCTTCTCCGAAGAGCTGGCCAACCTCTACCACCACATCTGTGTGTGCAACAACATGACGCCCAACAGGGTCATGCTGGACTACTACCGGGAGGGCGGCCGGGCCAGCAGGGCCCACCATGGCCCCCTGCGCCGCAGGCGCTCCTCCGATCTCTTCGGGAAGATGCTCTTCAACCCGGATGGTGACAGCGGGGGCAGTGGGGAGTCCTCGCCTGTCGGGGGCAGCCCCAACTCCCCCACGCTGGATTTCCGGGACCCCACAAACGTTCGCAACCTGGTGGCGGTCATCCGGAACCAGATCAAGCATCTCCAGGTACGTTCTTCTCCACAGGCAGAGCTGCTGCCTTTTCAGCGGCCAGTGTGTCACTACAGTGTGTCACTGCCCGTTACAGTTACAGGCAGCGGGGACTTACTGCCCTGCGCTCACAGCAGGGTCGGTCTTGGCTTGCAGAGCTGTGTTTGTGTTTCTGTCGCTGTGCAGCAGTTAGACACAGCCCCCTCCACCCTCCGCTCTGCACGTCCATGGAGATAAGTGACCCTTAAGCTAAAGTTACAGGCGACTGGGAGTCGAAAAAGACCCTGGCCTTTGCTAAGCTCACAATGAGTGTAAATATTCAAAAAAAGATCCCGCCCAGCATTCATTGCAAAGTCCAAATCTGGTCGGTAGCAGGACCTGTTACCGCCATATTCACGCGATCTGGACACTGCACCGCGCTCACCTCACGGTTACCGCCTCCCCTCCCCTTGCCTCTAGGCGGCGGTAGATCTGTGCCGGCAGCGTGGGACCCTTCCCTGCTCTCCCGCCCTGGGTCTCCCCGATACGGACAGGGACTCGGCGGCCCTGCTGGAGGAGGTGCTGAAGCTCAAGTCCCTGCTGAGCACGAAGAGGGAGCAGATCGCTACGCTGCGGACCGTCCTCAAGGCCAACAAGCAGGTAGGGCCACGGGCTGGGGCCGCCAGGTGCC